CAGCACGCACTTTGCAGCTGCGGGCAAAGGCCAGCGCTTCTTAACGCCGGTCGACGCCTCTACGACGCGCAAGGCGAGTGCTGCACCAGCTGTCGATGGCGCCTCGCCTGTGCGCGCATCCGCCGACAACGTACCGTACCCCTCTTGCGTACGTGAGCAACTCAGAGTGTGTAGGACATTGAGCTCGCGCACGGTGGCGTCTCGACAAACGATGACGCGTACTACATGCAGAGACTCCACGACCAGCTCGATGCGCAAGTACAAGCGTGGAAAGACGAAGCCGCAAAAGAAGCAGAGCGGGACAAGGCGACTGCGTCGCTGCCTCTGGAAGCGTCCATTGACACAACCTTCGGTATCGTGACCATGTCTTCTTGAGCTTGGTTCGCTTCATGCCGCGGTGTGTAGAGCCCGAGAGCATGTGGCGGTCGACGCCGCCGACGCCGGAAGAAATCTACCTCGACGACACAAGCAACGGTCTGTTTGACACGGAAGCCATCTTGGACTTTACGGTGCTCGACGCGTGATGTTGGACCATACGAGTACTATATTTGAATGCATACGCTGCGTGTTTTAGTCGAGCGAGATGGAGCGGGCTTGGTCGAGAAGCGCGTGAAGCGACGAACTCGACGCATTGAGCCAGTTGGCCTCGTTGACAAACAGCATCGTCAAGACTTCGAACGCCTCGTCGCGGTTGTTGGTGTCTGCCGACGGCGCAATCGGTGTCTTGGACCGGCGACAGTCGAGAATGTCATGAGCGCGTGTCAGGACGCGCTCGTCGACTCCTGATGCAGCATGGAATCTTGAATGCTCGCTAGATTCATGCGGATACCTGCGATGGTCGCGCAGCGAAACGCATTGCTCGAGGTCGCAATGCCCGGAATGACTTCGAAAAGGGCTGCGGTTGGCACATTGCCCTTTGTCGCCACGTTGATCGCCACGGAGGACATGACAAAGCAAGCGATCGTCGACGTCTCCTCAATGATTTGGGCTTGGTCTTTGCACTCGATTTGGTGCACTTCGCGAAATTCCAAGTGGTCGCGCAAGTAGGCTTCTTGGAAGATTTCCTACGTGTGGCGTGTGCTTCTGCTGATACCAGGTACTAGTAGTGAAAAGCAAACCAAAAAGTGGGTCGTCGTGAGGATCTTGGGGCCGCCGTGGCGCAGGACGGTGTCTTTGAGGTCCTTGAGCACTGCCGCCTACACCATGTTCGTTGCGCAATGCATGTTGGCAAATTGGTATACCAGAAGGCAAACGCCGTCAATCGCGGACGTGCCTGATTCAGCCCGTAAGACAACTGATTGTATTTTGATCAATACTGTTTACCTTTGCCGAATTCGTCAATGAGCAGCAGGCTGCGCTCATCGCAATGGCGGAGCATTGTTGCAATCTTTGGAAACGAGAACTCACAACCACGATTAGGGATAGAGCACGTACTTGATTGCAGTCGATCGTAAACGAGCTGTGCGACAGTAGCACGGTCTCGAAGCTTTTTTCAAAGCCACATTCATTACACCAATGGCGCAAGATGAGGCATGGCGTACCTCTGAATGCGTGTGAAGAGCTTGGTCACGATGCCAATGCGGGCTGGACAATGATGCAGTTCGCGTTTCTCCAAGTGATTGTCTACCTTCCGACACTGGGATGAAGGATCCAATTTGGGCCATGTACTGCAGCACGCCGACCATTTTCAAGTAGACGGATTTGCCTGCCATACAGCCTTGTTCACACAACGCTTGAGGTATCAAAGAGCATACCGGACCCGTTTTCACCCGTGAGAACGTGGATCAAGCCCGTTGTGGTATCAAGCGAGACGTCGTTGGGGATGTACGACTCGACCGTGAGCTCTTGCAGCGGATGCCGCGCGGTCTTGGCGACGAATGTGATTTCTTCGCACATAACAGGACTAGCCTCATTGATCAATCTTATTTCGGTGCAAAAGTACTCTCACCGAGTAAAATTGAACTCGCGCGCAGCTCGGGCCAGAGAGAGGAAGCAATCGACCTCCGAAACCATGTCGATCATGTCTATCGTTTAATATAAACCACGTGTGCTTCAAGAAAACATGAATCGTGCCGTAAAACGTGAGTTCGTGCTCCATGAGCTCGTCATAGAGCTCCAGAAGCAAGCCTAGTGTC